GCTAAAAATTGTATTAGATGGCAAAAAGCCTAAATCCTGTGTGGCAGGAGGAAAAAAGCAGGGGTAATGAATGGATGAAACAGTATCGCCAGCTCTCATGAGACACTCGATAAACACTGGGCTGGTGACACCATGTCAGGTGTAAGTGCCACTTCCCCTCTAAGTTCTCCAAGTGAAAAAAAACACTTTTCTCCTCTGGCCATTGTTTTGGGGTGGGATGAAGGGAGGGGAAGACCCTTGTGGAAAAGATGAAAGAAAATCCCCAAGATGCTGTCCAGAGGTTCTGTGCATCTGCTGCAGCTCTGACCCCATACTCCAGTCTATTTTCCACTTCTAATGGCCTGGACTAAATTAGTCTATGCTAATAAGAACTACTCCTGGACTCATCTGCTCCCCCTCTTCCCCCCGCAAAGGGAGATCTCCACTTCAGATTTACAGTTTGAGGTCCAGGGCTAAACTCTCTTTTCCCTGGACACAATGCTGAGTAGAGTATGATAGACATCTGGACATTCTCTCTCAACCAGACCTTTGCCCCAATCCCCCAGCCCATAGATGCCTCTGTGTGTTTTGGTAAAAAATAGTGAAGAGTACTGCTGTGGCTGTCCCACTGCACAAGATGGAGAAGACCTATACGTATGGATCTGGGGAGATCATAGTAATACTATTATAAAAATGGAACAGATTATTGTTAGCAAAAAAAGAGTACTCAGGCAATACTAAAACAATACAATGATTCTACCTCAACCAGTGCTTATGGCCACCATAACCAATTCATGAAGGCTGCAAATTTAAAAAAAAAAAAACTCCTCTGTAGAACAGTAGATTTATGTTGCAACTTGCTACCATTCCAAAAGACCTTTAATTAAGTTCGCAGCTGACTTACATTATCAAGTTCCTCATCAGTACTTCACCTCTAATATAGCTATGCCAGTTTTATGTAACTGTGTGAATAAATCCTCCATCTGATATATGAACTTGTGGTTAAATGGTCAATTACATTTCTATCACACCATGCTGGGCAGTTTTTCTTTATAGCACCTCATTTCTTCCCAGTACCAAAACACAGTGGGTACTTCAAAATAGTATTCAGTATGACAGTGATTCAAAGATTTGAAGACCATGCTGTAATCTGAGCTGTGGTTCCAAAATATTTCTCTTGATTATGTTCCCAATAATATTTACTGATGACAAAGAACAGCTCAAAAATGCTTTCCAGCCTAATTGGGAAATCAAGGCACACAGCAGTGAAGTCAAGTGAGCCACTGGTCAGGGGCAATGAGAACCCAAATATCCCAACTCTAAGACCAGTAAGGTAGCCATACTCTCACCTCCTCTCAAATAACATTTTGGCTACTTTATATAAGTGAGACATTGGGTTACAAAGGTGATATTGACTATAGGGGGTCTTTTAGTCATTTTGTTTTCTTGTTAAAGATTGAGGACCTTTAGCACACTGCAGCAACACCTATTTGCTACTCTGAATTAGAGACAACAAGACAAGCAATTCTGGTTAGTCTTTGATGCGGATAAACTGTAGGGCAAAAAAATGAGAGAAACTATTAGCATGTGTTTGTAAGGTCAACTGAAAATTACAATATCATTAACAACCTTTGCCTTTGCAGGTCTACCTCCAATTCAGTGTTATCTCATTAACGTGTCATCTGCTAAAATAGCATCCCTATTTAGATCTGTATCTGCAAATGCAACTTTTTTGCCTGTACAGAGTTTGTTACACAGTTTCTATTGCTAAGTACAGACGGTCAAAAAGCCTGAAGCTGAACTGATTCAGTCTTTGCCCAGATTAAATTGAAACAGAAGTGAATAGGACGCAGGAAATGCACCCACATACCTGCAGTGGCTCAGGCCAGAAGCCTGGGGGTGCTAAAGCACAGTTCTCTGGCTATGCGTTTGTGGCAGAGCACCTTTTGTGTCTGCCACTTAAGGCTGAGAGCAGGCAGCTGGCAGGTGCGGGCCAGCCCTGATGAGGTGGCCATTTTCGATCCAGGCTCTCAGGGCTGAAGCAGCAGTCGACTAAAAGCAGCTGAAGGACAACACCCAGCTGAGCTGATGCTCATAAAACCCTTGGTGGTAAGGGAGGAACTGTGGGGATGGTAGGAGGTTTCTCGGGCCCAGTAGGGTTCCAAGCACCAAGGAAAAGGCTTTGGGCCTAACATCAAGAGCACCAAGGAAAAGGCTTTGGGCCTAACATCAAGAGGCCAGCCTTGCAGAGGGGCTGAGAGTTTGTGGGCCTACACAGGAGCTAGGCAGGCAAACCCCTGAGCAGATCTGGCAGGGGTGAAACCAGGGGCTCAGGTGACCCTAGTTGAGCTAGTCCTCATGTAGCATTGCTGGGGCATTAGGTCAGCCTGGCTTGAGGCAATGGTTGTGTGGTGGGGCCCAGAAGGGGACCCCTGTTGTCTAAGGAGGCCAGCTACTGCAGGGCTGAGACCAACAAACTCTAACTAGTCAATGCAAGAGGGCCAGGGTCAGAAGGCTGAAGGGCATTTAAGCCCAATGCGAGCGGCAGGCCTGGGCTATGATGAGCTATCTGGCACCCCGACCAGCCTGGAGGCAGGGCCAGAGCCTATGGAGGCTGAAGGTCCCCTCGATGGGGGAGGGAGGCATCACTCTCAAGGGGAAGAAAAGCTCAGCAAGACAGTAGGCTGAAATGAAGGGCTGGAACTAAGGTCCAGTAGAGAGAGCAGCCCAGGAACAACATATAGCCCAGTAGGCAAGATAAGACCAAGGCAGGTAGGCCTACAGTGGTCCTGGGTATGACAGAAAACTGCACTCTGCTGGGGAAGGATGGCCTGGTAGGACTCCCTGTGACGGGGGCAGTTCCCCAGAAATGCCAGGCCAGGTTGCCTCCCCAGTGAAGGGTGGGGAGGGGCAATTTAAAAGCCCAGCCCCAACATGCTGGTGGGATACCCGAGCCCAGGGACAGGTACTGAGGCCAGGCACATCTCTGGACACCTGAGCCCCAGGGGGTGGAATACCTCAGAGGCCCCAGTGAGGGGGCAGATAGTTAGAGTGGTCCCAGTGAGGGGAGAGGAAGGGACCAGGTATGTCCACATGACGCCTGAGTCCCACAGGAGGGTAAGACCCTGTGTAGCCCCAGTGAGAGAAGGGACAGTAGTGTTCATCCCAGAGAAGGCACATTATGTGGAAGGCCCTAGCAAGAGAGCACAGGTGGAAGGCCCTAGCGAGAGAGAATAAGTTGAAGCCCCAGGAAAGGGATGGTTAGGCCAAGGTAAGTCTATGGATGCCTGAGGCCACAGTTGGGCCTGAGGCCAAGACCTCGGTAAGCCCTCAGAAGTTGTGAGGCTGAGTTTGGGTCATAAGGATAAGAACTGCCCAGTGTGGGGGCACTGTGACTGCAAGCTGCAGTGGGGAGTGAGTCCCATGTGAGACTCGGGAGCTTGCGTCACAGTGTGGGGCACTGGAGCAAATATGAGAGGCACGGGCCATGGTGTAGGGATGTTATGGAGCCATGGACAGTGCCCCTCGGCATCAGAGCATTAAAATGAGAAGCCTCCTGCATTTTACACCAATTAAAGAAACAGTAAATTGTGGCAGGCAAGACTGGGCAGATTTCCCTACTTGCACGTGGGCGGGCCAATGTTGAGACCTGGTCCTGAGCAGGCCCCCCGTCACAGTGTTCACTTCCTCTTCCTGCTGCTGCAGAGGTCTCTGGAATTTGCAGTCCAGACTTACAGCAGCAGGACTCTGCAGGGATGCTCATCACTTTATTTTCCTGTCTCTAGGTGCCTCTGGGATTTGTAGTCCACAGTCACAGCCAAGTAAGTTTGAGCAGGTGAAGGGGTGTTATAACCCCCCTCCCTGGCCCCAGACCCCAGCTGGGGTTCGACTGGAGCGGGGCAGTCCCCCTCCTGTAGACTGGGCTGCATCCCCAGGTGGAACTGCCCCCTTGTCAGTCAGCTCTCACTGCTCCAGTTTAGGGAGCAGAGGGGCAGAGCCAGTCCTGGTCTCTGGAGCAGACAGCACAGCACAGCACAGGGCTGCAGTGCAGGCTGGGATGCCGGAGGACTCTGGTTTAACTTAAATCAGGAAGGGGTTTGGGACAGAAGTTCCATAAACCAGTTTGACCTAAATCAGTTAAGTCTGGTACTACATTCAACCAAGTTTATCTTAAATCAGTTTCAGCCATTTTGAAACTGGTTTATGTGCACTGAGCTTGTGTTCTGTTACAGGTTTGAACTAGTTTCTGATCGCTTACACCGGTTTATGTGCAACTTCTATCCCTAGCCTATATGTTGCCATACAACTCCCTATGCTGAGTCGCAACATGTACCAAACCAAAAATCAGTTGAAGGAATACTTATAGTGTTTTCTAAAAAATGTAAACGCTTTATGAATATGGACTTAGTTACCTGATGTCCTCTAATGAGCAAGAAAAAAAAATGTTTCAGATGCTACCTTATATTACACAGAAGTGTCATTTCTTCTGTACTTATTTTTCTAAAGATCACTTTTCTAGCAGGTCACATCTGTCTCATTAAAATACCCTATTTCTCCCACATGTTGATTTGCATACCGCATATGATGTGTGTGATGTATGCTTTCACAAATAATATTTAGCAACATGTATAACAATTCTAGGCTAAGATACTAAAAACAGATGCCCCAAATTAGGCTTCTATACATGCGTATGCAGCCTTAGAAATGAGTGACCTGTATTCAGAAATGCTGAGCTATTACCAACACCGTTTAGATGATGTGTTAATTTTAAGCATCTATTTTTGGGAATCATATTCATAGGTCAAACAGGTATACTAGCATAAATATGGAACTCACTGACTGCAGTGAAATTAGTCTACATGTACAGTGGTGGCATCAACAGAAGAATATGGACTTGCTCATATACTGACATCTTAGAAGAACCCACTCTATTTACTAAGTGCGATGCTATGACTCTTGCATGTTCACTATCTAATATTACTTATAAATATCTTTATAAGGGATTCTTTTAAATCACTCACCTTTCGCTGCTTTACTGCGTCCAGTTTTACCAACCAATAAGATGCCACTTTTGTTTTATGGTACTTCCAGTTATCCATGATCTGTATTAGTTGAAAAAAATAGTAAAATTAAACAAAAAACAAGTGAAAAACGCTGTTTCTAGTTAAAAAAAAATCTAATTGGCAAAATATTTAACTATTTAAAAGGAAGTATTTTTGCAAAAAAGAACTGATTCCCCATTAGAAATGGAAGAATGTCTGCACATTTAGGTATTTAAATACATGAAGACACTGACTCGAGGCCTCGTAGTTTATATAACTGTAGTTTATTGTCTAAAATTTACAAACATTGAAAATAGCTTCTTAAAAATGACGGTGCCAGTAAAATGCATTTTCCCCATTTACTATTGTCTACATGTTATGAGAATGGGCTTTTAAATTTCTTGCTGCTCTGCCCTTTTGTCTCTATTCCAGATCAGTACCTATTAACAATCCTACCTCACTGACAACTAATATACCATCACTTGTTTATATTCTGACCTTTTCCACTTTGAGTTCTTTGTTGCAATGGAGGTTTGATAATACCAGCTGGTTTTACAAGAGGATTTTGCAATAAGATAGCATATTAACTATCTGCAGTTATGTTAAGGTTGTATCAGAACATGCCACTTCATGGGCATATAATATTTTGTAGGATAAAATATCAAGGAATCATTTTACCCCAATTCCAACACTAGAAAATAAGTATAGTAGTCATGAAATGTAATGAAAATAAAAGCTATGAGTAAATTATTCATACTGAGTTTTGTTTCTTACCAGACAAACTCCCTTTGAAGGGCCAGATTTCTGTTCCATAAGGACATACCCAAAGCTGCTGGGCCAATCAAGAATTCATTAGTGCAGTCACCATAGCATGGCCCATGGCTCCTTCCTACCATGACATGTGGAACAATCCTTAAGAACAACTAAGAGCCAGTGTAGCCCTTAACTCCACCAGAAAACTCATCTGATGCAAAGGTGTAGAGGCTGTGGGGCTGCAATGGTAGATTAAACCCACCATTTCTCTGATTCTCTCCACTCAATGAAGCCAATGAATTTGTTGCAAATGCTAAAGTCAAGATGTCCGAAACTCTGATTAAACAGAGGTAATCCAAGATGTGTACATGTCTCTATCCAGATACTCAGTGTGAACTACGAGCTGAAAAAACACACTTGTTTCTTGGAATACACCCTTAGCTCAGGTTACGGATGAGGAAACTGCATATTCCGCACACAGGAATGCAATATGCTTTGACAACTCATATGCAGCTTGCGGTTATTAACTTTGTTATTTTCAAATGTGCAAAGTGAACATTCCTCACTGCCAAGAATGAAAATTTAAGACAAGATTGTGTGGCTTATTCCACGCACAAGGCAGGCAGCCTCAAACTTTTTACTGGTAGTAATTAGGCCAAGCCAGAGTCTTTCTACTTCTCATGTAACTCTTTCTGAGATTTTTTTTTAATATAAAATACCTGAATTGTAGCTGGAAAAAAAAAAAATTAAATCTACCAGGAGACTAGGAAAGAGAGCAAAGAAGGACCTGCGTTACCTTAGTTCTCTCTCTCCCTCTCATTCAAAACTATGAATTTTTAAAACTGTACAGCTGGTGCAGTACAATATATAGTGATGAGTGCCGCAGAAATGTATGCGTTTTTGTATACCTATAAAATACAACGTTTCTCCAAACATAGATTAACTCAGAAATGACTAATAGGAATTCAAGTACATACACCTAGAGCAGGGCTTTTCAACCTTTTTTAGTCTAAATACCCCTGGCGGGCGGATGCCGTGTGTGGGGGGGGGG